TTTCCAAACAAAATGACATCCTTGTTGTCACCATTCCTTGATAGGAATTCTACCCAATTATTAACATCTTGTGCAGAATTTGCACATTTGTATACACACCTCTGAGGCCTGTCAGGTCTTTTTTTTTTTCTACACCTCACTCTCTCTCCTTTTCCCTCCATCCTGTATTTCCTTCCCCCTTCACTCGTGCGAAAATCAGCTTATGAAAACACGTCTTCGAGTCCTCGCTGTCAGCTCGTTTAGCAAGCCATTAATCCACACCACCTCTGTGTGCGCGCGTGTGCACGAGTTGCCTAAAAATTCAAAGTAAAGCTGATTTCAAAAACGCCTGTCATTTTCCAGCGTGCCTTAATACTTGAACACACACCCGACACGGGCGCTCTCTAATTTAGAATAGTCCATCTTTAAACCGCGGTAGCTACTGTGACAAAAACAAAGAGCCGAGTGTACAGGTTCTGCGCTACAATTAAATAGCTCCAATTGCAGTGAATAATGAGAACAGGATCTTAATGAAAAGGTTTATTAACAGCACATCCAAGGAGATTAAGTGAGCGCTGGGGGAAGAGAGGGTAGCAGCGTGAGACTCCAAGAAATCTGTGCAAGGAAAAAAAAACAGAGCGAGGAAGAGAAAGAAAGGCAGATCACAAAAGGTAGTTCGTGTTTGAGTGTCAGGATCCGTCAGAGTAGCTGTGGGTGAGAGAGGCGGCGAGGGTGTGCGAGCGTGAAGCGTTTCTGCTCGGCAGCATAAAAAAGCGTTCATTTCAAAGTGTTCGTTTTAGCTGTGAAACTTGAATTTTTGCTAAACACGCAGTATAAACGGAGCGGATTGCAGCATTAGTTTCACCGCGTCTCTTCTCGGCGGCGCGGCGCTTTGAGGCGAACAGAAGCAGCCTTGTAGTCACACGTGTAGCTGGAGTGGAGGAGAATTTCTAAAGAATCTGCACTAAGCGCATTCCCTTAGTATAGCCCAGCGAGAAGCCGTGATAGGGCTTAGTCACCTAATGGACCGCAGCCAAAAACAGTGGGAGAGTAATCTATGGTAGTCAGATCCGGAGAAACCAAACAATTGCGTTGCGCGGCGGACGCCGAACTCGACGGGACGACGCTCAGCAGTGTACACAAGTCCACGGGCCAACAAACACAGCTTTGAGGACCAGCACATAAGCATATTAGACGGATAGGACAGATGGTTTGAAAGAGGTGCAAAGCAGGCTGTTTACTCGATGCAAAACCGCAGAAGCCGTCCCTGAACCGAGGAGGACGGCTGAAAACACCGCTCGCCTGCTGTTCACACTGCAAAACAACCCCATCACGTCTGACTGTGTTCAGCCAAGATCGGTCTTCTCTTCTCGGTGAACCTGCCTCGCTGGTGGGCGTGATTGGCTCGCGGGGATGATACCTGTATTATTTCCTACAAATCGTTTATAACTGAAGCGGCTGAAACATCCTCCGTCGTCCAAAACGTGGATGATTGATGCGAACCTTCGCACCTAAACGGTCGTGCAGGAGTTGGTGGGCATCCAGGCAGGTGTGGCGTTAGAGATGAAAACAGCACAGAGAAGCATTGCAACGAGGGCTTGTGCTGCTGAGGAGATGAAATACAAACCAGGAAGGTGCGGTTTGAGAAATAAAGGCTTCTCAAGCAGCTTTAGCCGCTCTGGGTTTCCAGTTTGGATACGACAGGAGCAGCACGCCAAAGCTAATTCAGATAGCTTCCAGATAAAGACCATGAATGCTGCTTCCTCACCGATGATTACCGTGATGTTTGCTTATTTTCTAAACACACCTCCGCAGGCTCTCAAGGACTCGACAGCACTTTTGTAGTTATACTCGTTTAATTTTTGCCACACGGTCAGTCGAGGAACTTGTTTAACTGCATCTGTTGTGTTACTTTTGTACTTTTTAAAAATAATTTGTTTGTCAGCCATCCTCTCTTGTGTCACCTTGACATTTATCAACAACATCTTTTATGGGCCTTCAGCTAAACTTCTAATATTTTCTTTATTCTTCTGCCTGGTTTGGATACTTGGGGGGAAAAAAATCTGTTTTTTGATGTTTTTTTTTCAACCCAGTCTCCACAAAATTGCGTTTCTACACAACTAAACAGCCATCTTTATGGAGGAAATGTGTTTTCTTCAGGATTACATTTGTGTCTGATGTATCACGTTTCTAATCAACGTACATTTGCCATTTATAGCTTCGCCGTCACTCCTTTTCAGCCAGTTAATCATATGTACTAAATGGGGCAGAACGTGTCACCCTGCTAACCCAGAAAA